AGTCCTTTAAATACGGTACAAAACCCTGGAAATTAGGGTTTTATCCTAGCCAGTCTACTCTTCGAGTTGAGACCTCTCAACTTGTCGAGTAGGTTACTCAAATCACGCGATCCTTATAATCTCTACTTGACGAGTTTGGGGTTTCCAACTCGTCGAGTTGCTCTATAAACATGAATACATTATAATTAAATGCATACCAAGAACCAAGCATTACATATATTATATACTTTCTCTTCAACATATAATAGGGCGTCACAATTTAGTGGCATGTGCGCTGCATTATATGTAGCTTAACCTTCATTATATTCACATTGTGTATTAGCAAATAGGGTTAAAATATGTTAAATGAATATGTGTTGGTAAATATATGTTTTATGTGCATAACCGAAAAACTTACGGTCTATCTTGGAGAAAGAAAGTGAACGAAGTTAATATCCTTGGACGGCCAAACATAGGTGAGTAGTTTGGTTTTGCCCCAACGATTTTTCCAACATCTAAAAATCAAGTTTTTTCCAACAAAGTTAATGTCATTGGATGGCAAAGTATTAACTTTTTTATTTTTAGGAGATAGAATATGATTTTAAAAAATTGTTAATAAAATATACAAATCATATTTTTTCTTGATGCCATATCCTCTTGTAAAGATTTGATGTTGGAAATCAATGCATAAATCGGAAACGATAATTAGTAGTATTAGAACACCGATTAAACCGTGTGCTAGTGCTTATTCAAATACGACTAAAGTTGTATCATTGATATCTCGGAAACAGATAGTATGTTGGTTCAATTTGGAAATTGGTCAAACATAACACACCTTACAATAGATGGTCTCCATTGAAAAAAGGCATCAATTGTGGAGTAACAACTGCCACCATCTTATCTTTCTAATAGACAAAATTAATAGTTAAATAAATTACTTAAATTTTGATATAAATATATAAATTATACAAAAAATCATGGTAAATTTACATTTCTATCGATAAGGGTTATGATCAATGGAGTCGATCTAACTTCTCTCCAATAGAACTCCACTTGCACGGTTCTTAATGTATACCATAAATGAGGGCTTTGAAGGAATGAAAAATCAGTGATGTAAGTGTGTCCATCCATGATTCTAAAAAAAACCAATATTTTTTATGAGATTATATAATGAAGTTGTAGTAGGAAGATAAGAAAACATGGTTGTGTATTGATTTTCCCATTGAGTGGGAGTAATATAATGGTTTTGTCTATATATGCAGCATTTGAAGATAAACTAGTTTCTTATATAACCTTTAAAGTAATTTTAGTTACGTAGATAAGATGATTTACAAACTATGTAATCATTCAAAACAAAAAGGATTGATTACCTAATCTAATAGATGTTGGCAGATAATCTGTGATGATGAATTTGATGATGTAAACTCAATCTCGCAAGAAAAAGAATACATTCGAAGTGACAACAGAAACATGAATATTACAACTATAGAATTGATAAGTTATGAAAGAGGATGATACTTGTAGAAACGATAATACCAAGTGAAAGAACAATAACATCTTTGTGATTCACCTACAAAATAGGACTGGATTGGTTCAGGGAAGATCAATTTAACACTTAATACAATTCAGATTTCCAGAATTAGCTACTACATGAATTAAAAGGAGTTTGTTTCAAACTTATAGATCAATTGCATAGTCGATTGTATTTCAGCCAGCTGAAACCCAAAAATCAAAGGACGAATAGACAGAGATGAAACAGTCATTATACAAAATCAATAAAGAAGACGTATGAGAAATAGGATTGAACTTGTTCAGGGAAGATCAATTTAACACAATACAATTCTGATTTTCAGAATTGGCTACTACATGGATTAAAAGGGGTTCGTTTAAAACTTATAGATCAATTGCATAAAGAAACAACCACAATCGATTGTATTTCAGACGGTTGAAACCAAGAAATCAAAAGAAATAGTAACAGAACACGAACATCAATGAGAAATTGACATTATTTACTCGATTTTTGAGAAATTGATAACATTTGATTACCGTAAATATCAAATCTAGGAAGTAGTAACATAACACTAACATCAATGAGTTATTTAATTTGGAAAGACGATGATACCTGCAAACCACCAACGAATTCTCAATCAAATTTCTAAGACGACGATAGTATAAGGGAGAGATGAAGGTTAGAATGATATATTAGATCACGATAGTGACGGTAACAAATGCGTATTTGTAGTTGCCTTTTGTTATGATGATATCAATGAAATTAATCCAATGGTTTAAAATAATCAATGAAAAACATTGAAGGAACCAGATTGTTTTAGGTGATGTAATTAGGTTTTTGGTTTAATATATATAGAGATAGAGATTCGTGCTTTTTTGTGTTCAAATTTTTGAATTTTTATAATTCTATTATGTATTTTTATATTTCAATTAATGATTCTTTAAGGTTTTTTTTTTTTTTTTTAATTAAACTTTTGGAGAAAAAAACAGTGTAGCATGTTGTGGTAACCGGTAACCGTGTCACAAAACCATGATTTTATCGTAAAGCAATATTGATTTTGACTTGGGTTCGTATAATCATTATCGGTGACAACACTTCTTCACTTAAATGAATCACCAAGAATTCTGCTACAAAACATTGATGTAGGCTCCACTTTCTACGAGAGTTAAAGATGTTGAAATTGAGCTTGTGCATTGTGGAACTCAGGATCAAATTGCACATATTATTACAGAACTTTTGAAGCTGGATATTTTTCGGAAGATGCGCAAATTGCTTGGAGTTCAAAGTCACGAAGATATAAGCTAAGTTACTTTTAGCAAATCTATGTTTAGGAAAAAAAGATTTGATAGGAATAAGAGTTCCGTTAAGGGTTTTTGAAAAAAGTCCGGTTATGTAAGGGCAATAATCCTAGTTTTAAGCAGACCAATTAGGGATTCTGCTGTAGTCGTTTTGAATTCTTCTTGGCTTCTGTTTTGTAATGCTATTTCAATAAAGGTTCAATAAGCTAAGTTACTTTTAGCAAATCTATGTTGCTAATAAGACACCCCTTGGACACTCCATTGACCACTTTTTAAAAAGTTAACTAATAATTAACTGTTTATAATCAGTTTTTTCAGAAAACAATACAATTTCAGCCAATAAAAATATTTAAAAAATTAATTAGGGTGTCCAAATTGTAATAAAAAGTGTCTTTTTAGCCAACCCCTTCAATAAAATATCAATAATGATTTGATTAACCAAAAATAGGGAGTGTTTTTAGTATTTTGTTTACTTTTATCACACACCGATCATTTTTTTTTTTTTTGTTAACTACTCTGTCATTGAAATACGGAATTATACTTAATGGATTTATCGTATTACTTTAACTTTTTACTTTTGAATTGTTTTGATTGGATTTATCATTTTTAGATAGAGAAGGAGAAAGAACGATCAAGTCGAATTGCTTGGCAATGGTGCAGGTGTGTTGAGTCCCAAAACCCTAGTTCCTAGCACCCGATGACACTTTTTTTTTTTTTTTTACAAAATCATTCATGAACTTTTAATCTATTTATCTAAATGCTATCATACAAGTACTAATTCATATTGTTGGGTAATGTACAATTTAGTACTATTTGATTGCAAAGGTGATACGAGTTTGTTGTAAATGAGATTGAAATTTTTGAAAAGCACCAAAGTACATATATAGATATATCTATTAAAATAGACAAAACTTATATTGGGAATTTGAACTCAAGTTTTGGTGAGTGTTACATTTGATCACTCTCTTTTTCCCACTGAATACCCTTTTGCAAATGATTTTATCATAAAGAGTGATTCTTCAAATTGAGATATAAGGAGGATTGTATCTTATGTGTTTCAACTCTTACTAAATTGTTGAACAAGATAGGAAAAAACATTATTCTCCTATGAATACTATTTAAATCGTTTCTAAATGTTATACACACACTGTGTTCTATTTATGACTTAATCAATATTATCAAATAGGAGATGGATAAGAGCAATTGGAAGCCTATGGAATGTGGTGATTGGAGGTCTCAGCTGCAAGTAGCTTCAAGGCAACGGATTGTGAATTAGATGTGTGTATTTACTATTTACACTGTTCTCTTAAATTATTTTTTGGTATTTTATCTGCTTTTAGAATTTGTACTTTGAGTTTTGTCTTTAGGAATTAATACCAAACAAAATGCACTAATGATGATTCTCCTACTTTTGTTTTCTTCTATGAATTACTCTCTCCATAAATGTCCACACATATTTTAGGAGAGGAATAGAACCATATATATGCCTAACTTATATGTTACATAATAGACCCCCAAAATTACAATAATTACAGATACATACGTACAAAATAAACCTACATCTTCTAACTGATTCATAATTTATATTACTTAGAACGAATCTCTTGAAGAGGCATGTTAGTTTATATGCACATGAAGTGCAATATGTAATCGAGAAAACATCTGAGGGATTTGAAGAGTTGATTTATAGTACTGCAACAAGTCAGGTTTGTCGCGTGTTCTATTTATTGATGTTCTTTATTATTTATAGAGGGAAGAAATTATTGAATAAAAAAAAATGATATCATGTTTATCATATGTCATAGATATACTTCAATTCACTTGGTTTGCAGGTTGATTATTTGCAGAAGATATCCTTGAAGATGCAGAAGTTTGAAACCAGATTACAGAATCTCATTCAAAATGCTAATCGTGTGAACCCCTCACATCTATTATTTATTTTTATTTCTCATCATATATAAACAAATTTTGCCACATATCATGCAAAATTACAAGGATTCAACTGGAATACAAGGTTCTTCTAGTTCATCCTCTATAGAATCTGGTGACTGGAAGAATCAACTGCATGTATATACACGAGAATTTTTTGTGAATCATATGTGTGTATCTATATATGCTCAGTAAATTTTCTTTAATTTATGTTATTCTAAGAATTAGTTCTTAAAATCGTGTTTTTCATGCATGTTGATATACGTAGAACGCGTATCTTGAATATGCATGGTCCGTTCTCTGGACATGAAATGCTACAGGAACTAGATAAAATAGCTCGGATGTTTGAGGAGAATAATTATGCTACTGCAACAAGCAAGGTTTGTTGTGATGTTTTGTGCTTGTATTCTTTACTTTTGTAGTTTCTTCTTTTAATTAGTGGAATGCAGATTTTTCATGAGTTATAATTGCTTACAAATGGAAGGACTTATCTCCCTATCACCCTATACTAATAAAAGAGTAGTTCTTTTGTCAAGTGTCACCATGTTAGGCATTGTAATTAATATCATAACACTTATCAATCTATTAATTCTCTATTTCAAATTTCAAATTTCAAAATTTAAATCTCATTTTAATTACATTAAATTAATAACATTACAATAAAAATAAAATAAAATTAAACAAATTATAAAAAATAAAATTTATACAAATTATAAGATAATATATTTTACGTATTTATTTGAATCAATGATTATAATTTTATATATAACTAACATAATATCTCTTAATTAATAAGTTATTTAAAATTATTAATTAATAGTTTTTAAGTTTTTATTTGGAAAATTTAATTAATTTTCTAACCGTGATTCCTACGGGTTATAAACTAGTAATTATATATTACAATGAAATATTATGGGGCGAAATACAAGAAAGCACAAACCATTGTGACCTTTTTAGCTGAAAGCCCCTCAATTAATTTGTTAACCATTAAAAGCTTTACATTCCTTTTTATTTTGTCCAAATTACCAATGAAATTGTGTTTACCATGTTATAGATACCAACATGGCGAATACAAAAAAGCTTTACGTTTCTTTTTATTTTGGGGAAAATGACTTTAAAACCCAACGAGGTTTTCAAACCATTCAAAAAACCCCAATCATGTTTTTTCTGTTCAAAAAAACCCAACGAACTTAACATTTTGTCTAAAAAGTCCAACAAAGTTTCAAACCGTTCAGAAAATTCCAATTTTGTTTTGTTTAAGTTCGTTGGGTTTTTTTTGAACAGTCAAAACATGATTGGAGTTTTTTAAACGTTTTGGAAACTTCGTTGGTCTAACAAATCATTTTTCCGATACGGTAATAAGCAACGCCATTTGTTTCTCGTATTTGACTTTAGAGAAAGTGTAACTTAGTTGGGCTTTTTAGATAAAACGTTAAGTTTGTTGGGTTTTTTTGAACAGACAAAATATAATTGGGGTTTTTTAAACGGTTTGGAAATTTCATTGGGCTTTTAAGTCATTTTTCCTTTTATTTTGTCCAAATTACCAATGAAATTGTGTTTACCAATTATAGATACGAACATGGAATTTTTCTTTTTTATTAATATATGAGGTGGATTGTGTTTTTCATTTGTTATAACGTACTTTGGGACATAACTCCTTTTAATTACTCATTTGTTTTGCAGTATCAGTATTGTCAGAGGATCATGATGATTCTAAAAATGAGATCGCAAAAGCTCATGCCAGATGCTATGGAGTCAAACTCCGGTGCTAATACTGTAAACCTCTCATATTCAGGTATTTCTGGATATATAGATTGTCATTCAGTCTTATGCCATTAGTTTCATAATTGTGAATTATGTTGGGAGAATTATATATTTGTAACAAGGCATCCAACAGAGACTAACAGATGTACTTATTTGATATAAAGATAACTTTTCGCAATCAACAAAGATATCTACATCATGTCTTTTTAATTTATTTGAAGTGATTCTTTGATTTTGCGATCTTAGATCTTTTAGGTGCTGTTCAATTTTTGTTTATTGGACTTGATGATGAATAAATGTAGTCATGGAAATGAGGCTTTTCCCATAAGTCCTAACTTTTTATAAATTTTCTCTCATCGTTGTTTCTCTCTATTATACCCAAGTGTGCCATTATTTGCACAAATTTCAACATCATTTATTCAGGAAACACTTTATATAGAAAACACTTGTGTACAGTTGTATGTTTGATTTATTTTTCTATCCTCACCATTTTACTAATATTCTCAATCTGTTCCCTAATGAATAGGTTCTCAGATGATGCAGCTTTTTTCACATGTCTTGCAAAGCATCGGTTCAACTGGAATTCAAGGTTCCTTCTAGTTTATCCATCTGCATTGCACATGCATGCACACACACAAGATATACATATATATAAATATACATGCGTATGTGTGTGTGTATACACATAGATGGATAGATATGTAAACATAATAGAAATATAAATATACATGCGTATGTGTAGATATAAATAGAATTTAGTTTATAAAGGCCACAATTTAGGAAATTGACAAAGAAAGGAAGCAAGTTTTTCGAGTGAAAATGACCACTGATTTAATGAATCAGAACTCAGAAGCTAGCCTTTTATAGGATTTACAAAGATTTTGTTACAACTAATTAATACTAATTTCCCTTTAAACTGATAACAAAAAAGTTAGGCTACTAATAATTACAAGATCTAAAGATATTCCCATTATTCTAGCACCTTACATTGAGTTATCTTCTTGACTTACTTTTCAGCAACTGATGACACCTCTTTGGAATCTAGTGATTGGAGGGATCAGCTGCAAGCAGATTCACGACAATGGATTGTGAATACGATGTATGTATATAAACTTAATAAATATTCTTAATTTTGTGTTCTCTTACGAATTTAATCATGCAAACCTCCTTAGAGTCTTACTTTAACTATGATGTTAGCAGTTGGTGACTCTACAGTTTTTTAATTTGTAAAATCGTGGTTTCTTATGCATATTGATATTACGTAGACTGGATACCTTGAAGAGGCATCTTCCGTTCTATGAACATGAGATGCTACAGGAATTTGAGAAAATATCTGTGAGATTTGAAGAGAAGATTTATATTGTTGCAACAAGCCAGGTTTGTTTTGTTCTATATTTGTTAAAGTCCTGTGATCTTGTTCTTTATTTGTGGTTTTTGCTTTTGCTGAGTGTAATGAAAAGATATTGCAGGAGTCACCATGTACAAATGGAAGGATTTATCAAATAGAACAATGAAATGTTATAGGACAAAATACAAAAATGCACATACCATTCGACCCTTTTATATCAGAAAAAACCCTTTAAATAGTTGTTGAGCATTAAAAGCCTTTTAATTTTATCCAATTTACCTGGGGAAATTCTATTTTCGGGTTACACAACCAACATGGCACTTTTCTTTTTGTTTTTTTCTTTGAGTCTTTTTGTCCATATATCTTCGAAAAGCCATGTCATCATCCATAATTCCATATCCTGGTAACCTGTAAACCTGCAAAATGGACAAAATCAAAAGGTAAAAATTAAAACAGCGCTTAGCAGAAAGTTATAATACGGGTTTTTCCCCATAAGAGGACTATGGTAACTTGTCATTTTCTGTATTTCACCCAAACTTAGAATGTATTTCATGTGTTGTAAGGTACTTTTGGTTTGGGATCTAAACTGTTTAGCTCATTTGGTTTGCAGTCTGATTATATACAGAAGATCTTCTTCAAGAGGCCGACTATGGAAACGATATCACAATATCCCATGACATATGCTATGCAGTCAAACTATGGTGCTAATAGTGTAAACCCCTCTAATTCAGGTACTTCCGGATAGATTGCCATTTAATTTTTACAAGTATGATTTTAGTGGAAAGAATTTTTTGCAAGGGATTTTCTAATATGTGTCCTAAGGGCACATATAAGAAGTATTAATTAATCACAATTATTACCATAATTAAATAAGAAATGCATTAATTATAGGGATCATTAATAAATTTTATATTTAATTATGGTAATATTTCTTATAAGAAGTATTAATTAATCACAATTATTACCATAATTAAATATGAAATGCATTAATTATAGAGATCATTAATGAATTTTATATTTAATTATGGTAATATTTCTTATAATTAATATGTTTAACATTTAATTATGGTAATAATTATGATTAATTAATACTTATTATATGTGCCCTTAAGGCATATATTAGAAAATCCCTTTTTGCAATGAGGTATTGATTAGATACCAACAACTAATTAACAACTAACTGATGTACCTCATTTTTCGTAAAAGGATAACTTTTCCGAATCAAACCTCCCTAGAAAACATATGTACATTATTCCTTGGTGATTCTTTTATTTTTGACTTAATGGGGCCAGGACTCAATCAAGTAAGTTATATATGGTTGTGTTTCTTTTTTACTTAATGCTGAAAGAACGACCTATACAGAAAGAAAGTTATGGCTTTCCTCATTAAGTCCTAACCTTTTACAAATTCCCCCTGATTTATTTTTTCCTTCCATTTCCCCAATTGTCTCATCGTTATCTCAAATTCAAACATCATTTATTCATACATAGCACTTTATCCGGACAACACTTGTGTAGAATTGTATTCTTTTATATATTTACCTTTTCTGGCACCAAGTGTTTGTTAAGAACCCATGAGTTCATCAATAGAGTAGGTGATATATAGTTATATTCCTTTATGGTTGTAACAAAGTGATCAAACTTTGGAGATGAGCGCCTTAGATTCTTTGAAATAACCATTTCATAGCCGCTTTGTAACCATATGTAACACCCCAATTCCAAAAGTACACCCCATGTTTTCAAAACATAAAAACTTTACAATATTTAACAAAAGATGTACTTCACTAAGGGGATATATAAGTTATATCATCATGCCCAAACATACATATAAAATTTCAACAAGGGAAAGGGTCGGGTACGACTTACAAAGGTCCTAATTTCAAAACGACAGCTTCTGAACTTCTATAAAACACTTGTCATCCATATAAGACTTTATGTTATTCGTGGTGTATTAAACTTAAACATTCATTACTCACCTTGATTCTTCAATAGAGCTTCCAGTGAGTTCCTTTTGACAAGTTCCACAACACCTATATTCGGTGTTCTTACAATTAGATAATATGTCCCCATCACCCCTTGTATATTTACATTATAAACATTATGTCCCTAACCACTCACCAATGAATTTAAAATCCATTTATGTCACTTTACATAAAGACGTGGATGTTTCCACTTCATTAAACCATTTTTATCAGTTGAGGTGATAGGGACCCTATTTCCATCCCTAAATTGCTCATACTTGCAGATTTAGTGTTTTAAGCATCCTAAAACTTCACACTATCAAGGTTAACTCAACCTTAAGTTGCCTATAAATATAATTAGATTCCTTTATTTGAACTTAACCTACATATTATCTATATACCAAGTTAGACGACGATTCTAAAAATCCCAAAAACCGAATGTGTAAGGTTTATACTTGAGTGGAACAATAATGCAATCCTTACTTAGGTTTCACTACAAAATTCTGACATGCATAAGGGTTCCCATCATCATTCATCTTTATTCCCTCAAATCCCCAAATTTATATATGTTGGATAATTTTGGGACTACTTCATAAATATGTATGATATATTATTAAATACATTTATTATGGTAAGAGTATAAATTGTTGATGGACCGATTTATAGAATATTTATTTACCTTGTGGGTTGAGTTCACGGTTTGACTCAAGATCCTCAAGATCCCTTCCATTTCTCACATTAGGGTTTATCTCCATCTATAAATATATGTGATGAGGAGCAGATCAAGACACACGAAAATACACTAAGAAATTTGTGTGGTTCATTGCTGGGGGATTTTAGAGGGAGTTCTTGAGATCAACTGGAAAGCTCTTCCTAGTCTCTGGATCCGAAAATCTCAATGGAACAAGGTATGTAATCATTCTTTCAGGTTCAAAGTTTTCTTTTGACAAATTCGAGTATGCTTCCTCGTTTTATGTTTTGGTTATGAAAATTACCAACAATATACACTAAATGCATTCCCATCTTCAAGAAGGAAAAGGGACATCATATCTTGATTTTCCATCAAATCTTTTAAAATAAATCTCCAATAATATATATCCCAATATAAACATTCTACATAACATATACCAATCCTGACTATAATTAACTAGTTTATATGCATTCTTTATGGAACCAAAACCATTGATGCCTACCATTTCCCATTAATACAACTTACTTACAATCCAACACAAAACATCCCATCTTCCCAACATCCTTAATTAACTTGATGCACCATCACATTCAGCTACTAAATAATAATACTTGAAGTTTTCAAGAAAAACAACTTATAAAAATTAGGGAGTTACACCATACACTGTCATTTGGCTAACCATGAGTGAGATTCGAGGAACGTACGATTGTACATTTTCATTACCTTCCATGCATGTTGACTTGAAGTTCTTTCCGAGGCATTGCAATGTGACTTTGTTTAATGAAAAACGACCCTTGCATCCGATTAGTGTGAAAGTCTTGTTTTTAATCAGATCCCATAAATCTTGTGATCTTAGAAGTGCTTCCAATTTGATTCTCTATAATTTGTAGGAGTTGAAGACCAAAATGAGAGTCTGTAATATATGGACCGCAAAATTACATGATACCATCTTTCTGTTGAAATGACTAATTGCTAACAAAAATTAAGAGAGTAGCAAAAATCTATATTGCAACCAGGATCTGATACGATAATGTAGGAAATTGACAAAGCAAGAAAGCATATTTTTTGAATGAAAATGACTGCTATATTATTGAATCAGAAGCTAGACTTCCGTAGGATTTTTGTAGATATGTTACAACTAATACTGATGCACTTGAATGTTGAAACTAAAACTACAAATCATGCAATTACTACTACGAGACATAAAGACCTTTCCATTTCCATAGTTCTAGCATGTAATATTAATTTCTTTTCATGAATTACTATTCAACAACTGGTGACTTATCTGGTGATTAGAGGTCTCAACTGCAAGCAAATTCACGACAAAAGATCATGAACAAAATGTGCGTATTCATACTCGTAAACTTCTCAGTTTTATGTGCTTTACAAATTTTATGCTAACATGATTACAATCGTACTTTAACTATGATGATGTTAGCGTCGGGATTTTCTAGTTGATATTGTAGCTAGCCCCATGTATATAAATAGTCTCATGTTAGTTTTACAAGTGATGATTGTAAAGTCAGTTATCAAGAACTCTACTCATCAAAATGCATGGTCTACTTTGTGGAAGTCTTTGACCAAGTGTAATTATAGGAATTTGATTATATTATCCAACCAGGTAATCATAGCTCTAGAGTCTAGATCTCTATATACTGACTCATCGAGTTTAAATTTTGTATTCAAATCTAGTGTCTTAATCATATTGATACTATTCTTGGGTTCTTGGGTTGACAAGTTCTATAAGCTTTTGCAAGGAAGAGTGAGGTATATGCAAATATTGATTCTTTTCACATTATTTTTGTGAGTGTTTTTATTTAAGATGCCTTTTAAAGAGCCTAGATTTGTTTCTTAGAGGAATGAAAGTTGTAGAAATATTATTTTGAGAGAGGAAGCTCTTCCTGTTACATGTGTTCTTCCGTTCGTAATATGAACTTGCTAGTAATTCATTGAATACGATGCTAATGCATAAGAGGTACTAAGGAGACATGTGAAGGATGTCATATAGTTAAAGAATGGTTTTAGAGGTTGAAAATTTATAAAGGTAGGATTTCAATTGTTTTTTTAAACCTTTTACCTAACATTGGTTTCTGTCATCAGCGATTTTAGTTTCATTGAGGCATTTTGGGTGATGGGAATTACATGGGTGCTACGGGAATGTAGACTATGATTTTGTATGAGTTAAGTGGTGTGGACTGCATATTGCATATTTGTATAAGGCTAGTTTGATCCCTAACATGACGATTCGTGGGGTCAAGGGGCAGAGCACTTTGTTGTGGTCTTGAAACAAAACTGATTTTCAAACTGTAATATAGTTGAAAAAGTTGGACAAAAGTGGAAACCCAAAACTGAAAAATCAATGTTTAGGATGGTGATCAGGATGAGTGTATTTATCATTTACATCCTTTTCTCTTATATTTCTTAATTTTATGTTCATTAACAATATGATCATGGTAATCTTATGAGTTCTGATTGTCATATCTTGACATTATGTAGAATGGATACGTTGAAGAGGCATCCTCGATTCCATGGATATGAGGGGCTATATGAACTTGAGAAAATAGCTGAGAGGTTTGAAGAAAAGATTTATGCTGCTGCAACAAGTCAGGTTTGTTGTGCGTTCTATTCTATGACATAATGTTTTGTCATATATGGTAAGTTACTTTGGGACCTAAATATTTTAATTAATTTGGTTTGTAGGATGATTATTTGTGCATGATAACCTTGAAGATGTTACCCATGGAGACTCGATCACAAAATAGTATGCCTGAGTCAAACTCTGTTGCTAATAGTGTAAACCTCTCAGAAGGTATTTCTGGATAGATTGTCATTTAATCTTATGCCATTAGTTTTATAAATATGATTTTTTAGGGAGAATTGATCGTTGTAGCCCTTTTCAGAAAAGATTTGTACGTCATTGATGCCTTTTAATTTCTTTGACATGATTTTTTGATTTTTGACTTAATGGTGGAAACACTTAGGTGTTGTTTCTTCTTTTTCCTCATGTCTTGTATGGGTAAGGATAAAGTGATGTATATATTATAAAGTCGATTTCTTTTCTAGACTAAAATAAATCGCCTGAATCAAACTAGAT